GGAGGCATATCCAGGCTACCAATAAGCCCATCAAAAGCGTTCTTCATGTCTATAACAGTGTTTTGATCTCTAGCATTTCTAACTGGTTTTTTTTCCTTAGGATTTCCATCTCTCTGTTTACATTGCCCATATGTTCTTGTATGCTGTCTGTTTTACTCATTAAGAGCCCTTCACGTAGTAATCATAGTAGTTTTAAATTCCTGATGTGATAATTCCAGTACTATTTTGCCATGTCTGGTTCTTATGCTTGCTTTGTCTCTTCAAATTGTGTTTTTTGCCTTTTGGTATGACTTAGAATTTTTTTCTAGATAGTCAGACATGGTGTACTGGGTACAAGGAACTGCTGTAAATAGGCCTTCAGTTATGTGGTGGTGAGATGTAGAGGGAGATGAAGGGCTTTACAGTCTTGTAGTCTCAGTCTTTTAGTGAGACTAATACTTTGGACTGTGAACTTTACCACTAGTTCTCAGTTTATTTCCTCTTCCCTCAGGTGGGACAGGATGCCCAGAATGGGCTGGGATTGGGTATTGTCCTTCCCAATCAGTCAGGTTCTGATAATATCCTAGCATGTTAGGTTCTGAATAACTCGTTTTCCCTGAGGGCAGGCCTTGTTAAGAACAGACTTCTCTGGCAAGCATAAAGGGATTTTTACTGTTTACTGTGGGAATCTGGTGAAGCTTCTGGAGGTAAATTTCATATTTTGGAGCTACCTCTATGACTGGGTCTGCCTGGAGTTTTCAGCTATCAGACTTAGCTGCACTGAGTCTAGCAATTTAATTGTAATTCAGATTTACCTTTCTGACACTGGATCCTGTTGGAGTTTCCACTCCCGAGTTGCTCTGGTAAGCTGAGATTTCCTATATACTCTGTCTTTTCACTCTTGGGGACAGTGGTTTACCTTGCGTCCTCCCCTTGCTATGGGTCCAAGAAAAGTTGTTGATTTTTTTAGTCTTTTCAATTTTTTACTTGCTAGGGCAAAGTGACTAACATGTGGAACTGGAAACTGGAAGTCTAACCTTTTTCTTGTTTTAAAAAATATAAACTTACTAAATCTTTCTGTGTAGATGCACAGGAATTTTTCATCTTTTGCATATTCTGCTCTTTGTGGGTAGTCACTTTTGAAGGTGCTGTGTTTAAAAGCTTTTGAAACCACATTGAGCCTCTGTGAAAGGATTGCATGATCTGCCTGCCATAAATGTGAACATGTGCAAAGTCAGCATGAAAGTGCCAGGTATTTGTAGTCTCTAAAAGAACATCTAAATATTGTGTTGATATTTCTTCCTCATTGGTTGGTGATGCTGCAGGCTTTCAAAATCTGCCTGTAACTAGGTCTTTTATCAGATTGAGTTTCTGTTTTTGCCAAGTTATCTTGTCGTAGCTAATAATAACTTTTCATTTGTATATTCTCTTCACAAAAGTGAGAGCTTACTTTGTGCAGGAAACATTTCTGTTTTGTTGGGGAATCTCTTATTCAGAAGTGTAATTTAGGTGTGATAATTGGGGGTTGGGCCAGGTAGACCTAGATCTTTTTCTGTTGTCCTGCAAGGATCATCAGGCAGTAGTCTAGGTAGCACATTCCTGTTGCTGGAAAGAATCTCTAAGATTATTTTTTCTGACACCTCGTTTCTCATCTTCACTGGCTTCATCTCTATGCTCTGTCTTTCCAGTTTATAATCCTAGGTGATCCATTCTTATTTACTCTATGTATTAGTAGTATCTGAACATAGATAATTCCCAAATAATGTTCATTAAAATCACAATTCATTCTCATCTGAAAAACAAAAACTAAGTGTATTTCATATTCTTGGCTTGGGCAAGGGAGAACATCAAGACAAAAATGCAGCTTCTCACCAAATGAAAGTAAAAGAAGGGTTATATGTGTTTTGGGGGAAGGGTAGAAACTTTAGATTAAATTTAAATGACACAGTATATTGACCTGAAGCAAGAGGAGCTAATTCTCTAGAGCTTATCTGTTCAGTGACTGCCAAAAGTGGAGATTTGAGCTTCCTGTTATACATATGGATCGTGTCCTTCAGACCATGCATATGTATATGCTTCCTCTGTGTGTGTCAATTGTATCTTGAGGCCTCTGAAAATGGAATTTTTAATTCTTAGATCCCTGTTGGCCCTTCTTGGCCAGGTGACAGGAGAGGCCACTAAATATAACTCAGATCTACAGCGCTGATATGTTCTTAAGAATTGAGACGGTGGTTTTGATGATCAGCACGATTGTATCCTTTTTTTGGTCTCAGGTTTACCTGCTGCATTATCTGGTAAGATAGCATCCCTGCAGTAGCATGTAAGACCCTAGATACCAGAGAGAACATATGCTGTGTATTACAGATAGATATACACAGAGAGACTGGAAAACTTTTCAAGGCCATGGAGATCCTAGTTTTTCCAAATACCAGGAAATTCTGCAACTACAACTAACTTGTGAATTACTTCCTGAATCATGCTTGCCAAAGAAATACAAATATCTAAATCAGATACAATTTGGTTATATGGAGGAGAACTGATATCTCTACAACTGAGCTTTCAGCAGAAGGCTTTTATTTTTTTTGATGGTTCCCGTTAATTTGCTGGGAGAGCTTTGGCCCTAGGTTAGCAGTTACAGGTTGGGAGATGGGATTAGGATTTGGAATTCTTAGAAATTCCTCCTGAGTAATTGTAGTTTTCTGAGACATTCATTATGTTGTAGTAGGATTTATGGTACAGATAATGGCACATATATCTACAAGGAAACAAAAGGCTCAAGGAACGTTTGCTTGTTTGGGAGCCCACCAATTCTGGTAAATAAAATAAGTGAGAATACTGGAGGTAGACTCAGTGGGCAGCCTTGAAATAGTAAACAAAAGTCACAGCTTGCTCATATGAAAAGTTTGAACATAATTTATTTCAAATTTTTGCTTGGGCAAGGGAGAAACTTCATGTGGAGTGTGGTTTTTTTGTTAAAAAGAGACAGGTATGTAGAATTTTAGTGGTTAAATATAGTTTAAATTTCAATTAAGTGCTTTTGCTTCTTAAAGCAAAGTGGAGCTAATTGCCGATTGGGTGAGTTCTTGATAGCTGTTTAAATGGTATTTGCTGGAAGTGGGAAGTTCAGCTTCCTGGATACAGATAGGTCATGTCCTTCATTGTCTGCATGCCAGTATAGAATATATGATTTAAATATGCAGGTTGTGTCTTCAAGCAGGTGTGGGATTTTTCTGTCTAATGAACCACTCTACCTCAGTGGGCCATAAATAACTGCAACTCAGTATTTGTAGCCATTCCACTTATCTTGTTCTCTTCTTTTTTCTTTTAATTTTATTTATTAAAATTTATTTATTTTAATAAGTTTTATTTATTGAAATTCATTTGCTTTAATAAACTTTATTTATTAAAATTGAGAGGGAGAGAGAATCCCAAGCAAGCTCTGCAACGCAGAGCTTGAACTCACAAACCAGGAGATCATGACCTGAGCTGAAATCAAGAGTCGCTTGACTGATTGAGCCACGCAGGCACCCACACGTTCCTTCTGTGTTCTCCATCTCCTTAAAGGATAGTTGTTTTCCCAAAGTCATATTGGATCCTCCTCTCTTACATCAATGTCGAATGTATCACTAAGTCTATCTATTTTGTCTCTATGTCCATGCTTAACTGCTTTGGTTCAGATAGTTAACCAGGTTTTTGAAACAGCGTCCTCACTTTTCTTACTGCTAATTGCTCTTTGTTTCTCTACCTTCTGCAACTACTACTTGAGTTTCTGTGAAACTATTTGATTGCATCACTCATTTGAAACTTCCAGTAGCTCCTAAGTACAGGCATATTCTGTTTTCATGCCTGTCCTCATACATGGTGTTCTATTTTGTCCAGAACCCTCTTTCTTTTCTATTCCCATCTTGGTGTAGTAATCTCTTATTTTTTAAAGCTTACTCCATCTCTGCTGAAGCCTTCCCTTACTCCTCAAATTCCTTGATTCTTTTCTGAAATTCCATATTGTTTTTTTGATTCTGCTGCTTAGAATTTATCTTGTCAGATTGTAGTTTACTTATTTACATGATTTCCTTTTTAGGCTATGAATTCTGAGGCAAGGACGTAGAGCAGTTCAGGTTGGCTAATAATAGATACCTACTAAAAATGTTAATGCCTGGAGCCCCTTCTTCTGCCTGTTTTGGAGAGGAGTTAGTTTTCTAAGACCATCTTCCTCAGATGTATCCTAGATCCCATTCCCCTACTCAAAGACAAGCACAGAAATTGGCCTTAACGTTAAGTTTATTCGTAACCAGAGGAGAGAGGCAGAATTAATGTCAAGGTGGTGAGGAGACCTTGAAATAATGCAAATGGTGAGCAGTAGGAGGAACTAGAATATTTAGCCAAAAGGAAAGAAAAATCAGGTGGGATATGATAACAGTCCCCAAATATTTGAAAGGCTGTCATGTAGAAAAATTATTAGTCTTAATCATTGTGTCTCCAGAGGGCAGCTATAGAATGAATAGGTAGCATTTTAAGGCTCAGCGTTAGGAAGAGCTTTCTGAACATTATAAGCTGACTTACTATATCAGGTAGAGGATTTTTCATGAGTGGAACTGTGAAAGTAGAGGCAGAATGAGCATGAGTTTAAAGTACTATAAAGTAGATTTTACTGTGTCGGGCAAGAATTGACCATGCTGAAGACTATTACATTTTCTTTATTCAGTTCTAAATCATAGAACTAAATGTTTAGAAACTTAGTTATTGTTTAGGATTAAGAGAGTTTTCTGTACATTCAGTAATAATTTTAAGCTTTTTATGCCACCTGTAGAGCATTTAGAGTTCAGTGTAGTCTCTTGCTCTCAAGTAGCTTGTATTTTTAAATGAAAAGATTCTTGAGCTTTTCTTCTTTTTAATTTTTGAGGAGCCAGTGTGTAATTTCTATTTTGATTATTCTTAGGATTCGCAATTCCAAAAAATCAGTTTTGAGATTTACTTCCCCTTCAGATACTGAAATTGTTTTTCTTTCCTTTTTATTCCTAGCAATGTCTCAGGCTGTGCAGACAAACGGAACTCAACCATTAAGCAAAACATGGGAACTCAGTTTATATGAATTACAACGAACACCTCAGGTAATGTAGACTAAGGTAACTAGGGGGAAATATGACACATCTGTAAACTGGTATACATTTTTAGAAAATGAATACTTAAAAGAACATAACGGTGATAATGAATTTATATGCAAGCATCTTGACTTGGGTATGTTTGGTTTACACTTCATTCATTGATTAAACAAATAATTCAAGTGCATAGTCTGTACCAGGTCCTAAGCTTGCATAGTCTGTACCAGGTCCTAAGCTAGGCACTAGGTGAAGTGGTGAATAAAATAGTTGTGGCACCAGCTTATGGAGTTTATAGACATTAAACAAATATCCATAGAATTATACATTTTAGAAGTTGTGTAAATGGGGAAAGTCCTCAGTGAGGTAACAGATAATCATGGGAGGGGGCATTAAGGGAGATCAAGGAGGTGAAGATGGGGGGCACCTGGCTGGCTCAGTCAGTAGAGCGTGTGACTTTTGATCTCTAGGTTGTGGGTTCGAGCCCCATGTTGGGTGTAGAGATTACTTAAAAATAAAATCTTTAAAAAAAGGTGAATAGGGGAAAGACTGGGGGGGTTCCAGGTTTGAAGGAGATAAACATACTAAAAATTGAACTCATTTTGAAATGCCTGTAAGTCAGGCAGGCATAGATGCTAACTAGGAGTCTGGCCTAACTAAGATTTTGGGTGTGGTCAGCAAATTTTAAGCAGTGAGAATGGATAAGATAATCTGGAAACCTGGAGAGAGATGATCAGAAGGGCCCCAGAACTTCATCCAGGGGAGATTCAACATTTAGAAATGAAGTAATGGAAAAGAAGCCAGCAAAGGAAACTGAAAGAAACAGCCAAAGTAAAGAAAAATAGGAGAAAAATAGGGGATCAAAATCTAAGAGGAGTTGTGTCAAGAAGGAGGATGTAGCTACTGTGTTCAGTACTACCTAGAGGATGGGTAAAATGAGGATTACAAAAGTGTACTTTGAATGTGGCAACGTATACTTCATGACCTTGACAGGAGTAAGTTCACTTAAATAGATTGTACTGTGTTGAAGGGGAAAAAAGTGAAAATATATAGGCAATTTTTCAGAGAAGTTTGGCTGTGCAGAGAAGCAAAGAAGTGGAGTAAAAACTGGAGGGGAACATGGAACTGGGAAGTTTAAAATTTTGTTTTGTTTATAAGATGGGAGATAGAGGTGTACCAATGATATGCCCCCCGCCGCCCCGGCTCCACACTGCTCTAAGGTGTATCATTCATATTTCACTATAGATAGTAACCCCATGCAGATGCTACTCTAGGCTGGTTTAGTGGAGAGCCAGAGAATGCTGAAGCCTGAGAGCAAATAAAATAATCAAAAGAATATACTTGAAAAGGTAGGAAGGGATGTCCCTTTGATAGAAAGAGGCATGTTTTCTCCTTTTAGCAAGAAAGATGATGATGATTTAAAAAGATGTCGTAGAGGAGTGCTTGGGTGGCTCAGTCAGTTAAGCCTCTGACTTCAGCTAAGGTCATGATCTCACAGTTCTTGAGTTTGAGCCCCTCATTGGGCTGTGTGCTGACAGCTCAGAGCCTAGAGCATGCTTCGGATTCTGTGTCTCTCTCTGCCCCTCCCATGCTCGTTTGTTCATTCATTCATTCATTCATTCTCTCTCTCTCTCTCAAAATAAATAAACATTAAAAATAATTTAAAAAGAAAGATGTCACAGAGAGAAAATGAGAGAGCTCTCAATGAAATTTGAGGTAAGATAAGCTTTTCAGTGTTCAGGTGTAGGAAGTTCTGCAGATAGAAGACAAGGTATAAGATCACGTAGAAAAAACAAGTTTGTTACGAGAGAATTGCTGAGCTGTGTTGAACACCCATTTAAAACTGGTGAAATTTAGTGATACTAGTCTGGTTGTATGATTCCCCCCTTTTCTCCCACAGTGCTACACACCTGCACTGGTACAGACATGGAGAACATGGGTGGTTGAGTCCAGGGCTGGGATTTTACTAGGCAAGTTCTAAGGAGGAAGAGGACAGACTTGGTTACTAGCTGAGTCATCATACTTGGAGTGATGTTTCTTCATCAGAAGTTTGTGTGTGTATTAAATTAAGTAAAAGAAAATACTGAAAGTGCTATAGAGAGGTTGAAACATACTAAGACACTCAAAAATAGTGGTAGTTACTGTAAATGCATTTTACTTGAGTCCTTTATGGACAATATCTGTAGTTTTTGTTTTTCCTTGTAGGGTCATCATTCTTTGGCCCTGTAGAGAAAACGTGTATGGAGAACTAGTGGAAACAAAGTGTCAATAACATAGAAAGCTCTTTATTTCTTTCTGACCTTCCTCTTCAGTAGCCACCTACTGGATATCTTTCCTCAGTCCATAGGAATGCCTGGTTGTGACTTTAGAGCTAGGGAAATTTGTACTCAGTGCCACCTTGTGGGAAGGGTGGGTAGTGGTGGTGGTTATGAAGAAAGAAGTCACTGATTTCTCTGCAGCTGGGAGATGTGTTCTGGAATTCTACATTGGACCTCCAAATGCATTTTTGCATTGGAACATTTTTACACGTGACAGTTAGAAATACTAGTACTGGTACTATGGATTAAATTAGTTTGTAGATTAACCTGAGAACCTGAGCACTTTGTATAAAACTACTTTTATGGATCAAGACTTAAGGTTCAAGAAGTGACTTAAAATTTTTTTTTTTTAATTTTTTTTTTTTTTTCAACGTTTATTTATTTTTTTGGGACAGAGAGAGACAGAGAATGAATGGGGGAGGGGCAGAGAGAGAGGGAGACACAGAATCGGAAACAGGCTCCAGGCTCTGAGCCATCAGCCCAGAGCCTGACGCGGGGCTCGAACTCACGGACCGTGAGATCGTGACCTGACTGAAGTCGGACACTTAACTGACTGCGCCACCCAGGCGCCCCTTAAAATTTTTTTTTTAATGTTTATTTATTTTTGAGAGAAAGAGCATGAGCAGGGGAGGGGCAGAGAGAGAGGGAGACACAGAATCTGAAGCAGGCTCCAGGCTCTGAGCTGTCAGCACGGAGCCTGACGCGCAGCTCCAACTCATGAACTGTGAGATTGTGACCTGAGCCGAAGTTGGATGCTTAACTGACTGAGCCACCCAGGTGCCCCTCAAGAAGTGATTTTAAAATCTATAGACCACTTTAAAATTAAGCAGGGATCAATAATAAAGGACAAAACTATGATTCAAGAATATATCAACAGATACAACAAAATATTTAGTCTTAAAAAGTTTAGAACTAAGCCAGTCACAATTCCACTTATATGAGGTATTTAAAGTAGCCAAATTCATAAAAACAGAAAGTAGAATGGTGGTTGCCAAAAGCTGAGGGGAGGAGAAGGAAATGAGTTGTTTAATGGGTACAGAATTTCAGTTTTAGAAGATGAAAAGGATTCTGGAAATTGGTTATACAATAATGTGAATGTACTTACACATTACTGTGAACATGTATATAAATTAGAGAATATTTGTATTGGAATCTTAAAATCTTTTAATGGATGGTGTGAAATAATATAATTTGTTAACAGAATGGTGCAATTTGTGAAGATAGAAGGATTAAATTTTATTTAGCCTTAGCTTCCTCATTTTGCAGGTAACAAAACAATGTTAAATTATTATTTAGAGTCACATTAATAGGTCTAGAACTAGAACCGAAGGCATCTGATTCCAAATTCAATGCTTTTTTTGTTAGGCCAAGATGATTTACCATTACTTATCTTTTAAACACATTAATATATTATTTTTAGCCATTAAAATAAGAGCATTGATATTATAACAGTGGTGGGGGGTTGAGGGGATTTGGGGGGAAATTATGGTAAAATAAGGTTGGCTGTGAGTTGACAGTGGTGGTAGCCGGGTCATGGGTATATAAATGTTCATTTTGGTCATATTTAGTGCTTTTGCATGTTTGAACTTGTCCATAATAAAATAGGTAGCATTTAATTTTAAAGTGACTCTTCTACAGGAGGCAATAACAGATGGCTTGGAAATTGTGGTTTCACCCCGAAGTCTACACAGTGAATTAATGTGCCCAATTTGTTTGGATATGTTGAAGAACACCATGACTACAAAGGAGTGTTTACATCGTTTTTGTGCAGACTGCATTATCACAGCCCTTAGAAGTGGGTACGTTGAAATGAGTTATACTGGGTACTTAAATTATATCAGGATGGTGCTTTATGGGTATTGAGAAATACATTCTCTAATAGGTATTCATTTGAGAACTAGAAATTCTTCTAAAGTCTAAGTTTTAATTATTGGAGAATCTTTGTTTTGAAACAGTTGATTTTACAGAATTTTAAAAGCTTTATAAAAGCATGAGTATTTGTTTTGAGGAAATTACAAAGCATGAAACCATGGTTTTTCTACTTTTGAATTATATAAAATAATATCCTTATGAATGCTATTTTAATAAAAGGATTGATACATAAATTAATATGTATTAGATTAGTGGGTAGCTTTTGCTTGTGGCATGGATATTGGGGAATTTATATTAACAAGAAATAGATTTTTATTTCTAAGATGATTGTATATAAATTATCATTGGGGAGTATTCACATTTTTCTTTGTTAACAAGTTCTGTTGAATGTCTCAAGTTTCCAAAATCTTGCTTACCCGCAAAGAAATTCAGGTTAAATTTCTGTGACTTAAAGGTATTGGAATAAACATAACTATCCAGAAATTGGATATTTTTGTCGTTAGCCCAAAGATACTGACATTGCTTACATTTTCTTTCCCCTCTTTTTATTTAGCAATAAAGAATGTCCTACCTGTCGGAAAAAGCTAGTTTCTAAAAGATCACTAAGGCCAGACCCAAACTTTGATGCACTCATCAGCAAAATTTATCCAAGTCGTGATGAGTATGAAGCTCATCAAGAGAGGGTATTAGCCAGGATCAACAAGCACAATAATCAGCAAGCACTCAGTCACAGCATTGAGGAAGGACTGAAGATACAGGCCATGAACAGGTATATGGAAAAGGAAGCCAGAGATGGTGGCCGTTTTTCTGAATACTTTTATTAAAATACTGAATTTACTTAACAGCCTCCACTTTGGAAAAGATAAAATACAATTGTAAATAGTAGTTCTGCATGGTTACCTTTCCATGTAATATATACTTTCATTTTTAATAGGGTATTCCATTCTATTCTCTCTTGTACCCACTTCTCCCTCCACTTACCATTCCTTTTCTCATTTCTATAGCACAACTGCTTAAAAAGTTGTCTGTGCTCATGGTCTCCAGTTCTTCTCACATTCTATTCTGAACCCCCTGTAGTCAGACTTTTATCACACCCTCCCCTACCCCCGTATCCCCTCATCAAATTTTCCAGTGACCTCCACATTGCAAAATCTAATTGCTGATTCTCAGACCTCATTTTTCCATCTTATTTAACAGTATTTGACACAGTAAATTTCCTTTTGAATAGTTTTCTTCACCTGGCTTCTGGGAGACGATAATCTCCTGGTTCCTTTTGTATGAATTAGCTATTCCTTAACTCAAATTTAACATGTCCAATACTGAACTTTTAATTTTTTTAAGTTTATTTATTTATTTTGAGAGAGAGGAAGAGAGAGAGTCCTAAACAGTCTCTGTGCTGTCAGTGCAGAGCCCTCATGTAGGGCTTGAACTCATGAACTATGAGGTCATGACCTGAGCGAAAATCAAGAGTTGGACGCTTAACTGACTGAGCCACCGAGGCCCCCATACTGAACTTTTTATTCATACCCCCTACTTTTCTTCATTCTTGATCATTTCAGTTGATGGCAACCTTGTCATTCCACTTGCTTTAGCCAAAAACTTTGTGGAGTCAGCCTTAACCTTCTCTTTTTTTTTTTTCTCACATTGTGCATTTCAGTCTGTGAACAGACTGAAAGTTAAGTCTTAACTTTTTCCATAATGTATCCAAATTGGTCTAGGCCACCACCATCTTTCATTTGAGTATTAAAATAGCCTCCTAATTGGTCTTTCTACTTTCCCTGCTTATCTTTACAAAGTCCATTCTCAGCACAGCAGCCAGAGTGATTCTGTTAAATTGAAAGTCAGATCATGGTTTTCCTTTGCTCTGAAGTCTCTAATATCTATATTCTATTCACTTTCAGGCTAAAAGACCATGATGATGGCTTCCAACACCCTGCATTATTTGGATACTTCTTACCTTCATTTTTGTTTCCTGACACTTTTTTTTTGTTTTAAATATAATTTATTGTCAAATTGCTAACATACAGTGTGTAAAGTGTGCTCCTGGTGTTTGGGGTAGATTCCTGTGGTTCATCTCTTTAAATACAACACCCAGTCGTCATCCCAACAAGTGCCCTCCTCAGTGCCCATCACCACCCCACCCCCCCCCCCATCAACCTCAGTTTGTTCTCTGTATTTAAGAGTCTCTTAATGGTTTGCCTCCCTCCCTCTCTGTTTGTAACTAACTGGTTTTGTTCCCCCTTCCTTTCCTCCATGGTCCTTTCTGATACTTTCTCATGTATTTAGGCCTCAGTGGGAGTCCTCATTTTCCAAAGTAGGAGATGCCAATAAAGCCCTGTCCCAGTCTGATGTTTCTTACCTTGGTTAAACATCAGAATCACAGAAAGTTTTAAAATTCTAGGGCCTCTGGTACCATCCTAAACCAAGTAAATCAGAATTTTTGATTGAGGTTCAAGCATAGCTATTTTTAAAGTTTTAGAAGTCGTTCTGAAGAAGATGTGCTGCATTCTAACTGTATTAAACTGGCCTACAGCTCTGATTAACAAAGTAAAATAAAATGTTGAATGCATATATTTTATTTTTTTTAATTTTTTTTTTAACATTTATTTATTTTTGAGACAGAGAGAGACAGAGCACGAACGGGGGAGGGGCAGAGAGAGGGAGACACAGAATCTGAAACAGGCTTCAGGCTCTGAGCGGTCAGCACAGAGCCCGACGCGGGGCTCGAACTCAACAGATTGTGAGATCATGACCTGAGCCAAAGCCGGCCACTCAACCGACTGAGCCACCCAGGCGCCCCTGAATGCATATATTTTAAAAGAGTTATATAAATTTCTAAGACTTTGAGGGATTTTAATGGTTGTTCATTTTAGTCTTTAAGCAGGAGAAAGAATCCCCTTTGCAAAATTTTTATAGATTGTCCTTTGATTTTGCTTGAACGTTTCTAGTGGTGTGAGTACATGACAAGAGTTCCTTTCATTTGTTCGTAGCTTTTTACAGCTTCCTTGCTGTTCTTCAGACTTCCCCAGCATGCTTTTGTCTCAAGGCTTTTGTACTCTGTAAAGAACCCTTTTCCAGATAATCCACATGGCACTCTCTCTCACTTTCTTCAGGTTGCTAAGTTCCTATCTTCTACTTCACTCCATACCTTTTTACCCTCCCTTCTTCATTTTTCCCTACAGCTCTTATTCTCTGACATTTGTGTGTTACCAATTACACTAGAATAATATAAGCCCTTAGAGGGTAGAGACTGTCAGTATTATTGATTCTTATTACTCCAGTGCATAGAACCATGGTTGGCTTAAAGTGGCTGTTCATGGGGCACCTGGGTGGCTCACTCAGTTAAGCATCTGACTTTGGCTCAGGTCATGATCTTCAGTCATGGTTCGTGAATTTGAGCCCCGCATCAGGCTCTGGGCTGACAGCTCAGAGCCTGGAGCCTGCTTCAGATTCTGTGTCTCCTTTTCTCTCTCTCTCTCTCTCTCTCTCTCTCTCTCTCTGCCCCTTCCCCGCTCACGCTCTGTCTCTCTCTGTCTCAAAAATAAGTAAACATTTTTTAAAAAGTAGCTGCTCAGTAAATATTTTTGAGTATGAATTTTTTGAAGTTCTACCTTTATATTGAATTAAAATTAATTTCTTGTGTGTAGCAGTCTTGATCTTTGTCAAAATACTTCCTTTGGATTCTGTACTACTTCTACTAGTTCTTTAAATAGTAGAGGCTAAATATTCACATTCCTAAATACTTTTATGGTTCCTCCTATGACATTCAAGTGTGATGGTGTAGTTCTTGAAATGCTATTAGAGTAGTATGTAGTATTGTAGATATGATTTGATATATGCAAGATATAATCTATTAATCTATATTAACATTATTCTAAGAATGCTGCCTGAAATAAATTAATCTAGCTTTGTCACCTGAAACTTTTTTGGAAAGAAGTCTGGGATAAAAATACAGTAAGACAAGTAACCCTGTTAGATTACTTTACAGTCAACTGAAACAACTTTGCTTTTGTTTTAGTTGCAGATTTTAGGAAATGTTTAGGTATGGTCTTTATGTTTTCACTGGGTTTTTTTTGTTTGTTTCATTATTTTGGCCTGTTTGTTTCGAAATATGTTTTAAATTGTGATAAAAAATATAAAATTTACTGTCTTAACCATTTTTAAATATATAGTTCACAGTAATGTGTAAGTACATTCACATTATAACCAATTTCCAGAATCCTTTTCATCTTCTAAAACTGAAATTCTGTACCCATTAAACAACTCATTTCCTTCTCCTCCCCTCAGCTTTTGGCAACCACCATTCTACTTTCTGTTTTTATGAAATTTGGCTGCTTTAAATACCTCATATAAGTGGAATTGTGACTGGCTTAGTTCTAAACTTTTTAAGACTAAATATTTTGTTGTATCTGTTGATATATTCTTGAATCATAGTTTTGTCCTTTATTATTGATCCCTGCTTAATTTTAAAGTGGTCTACAGATTTCATAAGCAGGATTTTGTGTGTGTGCGTGTGTGTTTTGTTTTTTAAAAAGTGAAAGTTCTTGAGCTGTTTTCCCAAGCAGCGGGCTGTTATTTCCTTGTTCTGGCAGTAAACATGTAATTTTTTTCATATACAGGTTGGGGGTGGGCAGTGTGGTAGAATGTGTATCACATCCTAGCTCTAGTTCTGGCACTTACGAGCTTATAACCATGAGGCTTTGAACTTCATTTTCTTTGGTTTTCTCAACTATAAAATGATAATAACTACCTTGACTGTTGTTTTGATGAGTAAATCAGTTGTATAACCAGAGCACCTTGCCCAGTTAGTGTTGTTGTTGCTGTTGTTTAGTGTTTGAGCTTGTTAGACTGCTTTTCTATCCATACTTGTCATTTAGATACCATCTCGTTTTTCTCATTAGAATAATTTTATATTAGCAGACTTCGAGTGAGGTTGGCAGGGAGGGAGTGCTTCCCATTCATCTTAAATCTTGTTTCCTTATGAACTTCTAACTAACTAAAAAGGGGCACAAATATATTCCCTCAACTTTTAAATTTTCATTTCTGAATCATGACTTTAGATTTAAAATCTCATAACAAATGATCAAAATACAAATGGCAATAATTCTGATAGTAAATAAAGAAAATTCTTAAGTGAATATAAACATTTGTTTGAGTTATTCAACTATGTATATATGAGTGGGGTTCTTTAGAACTTTCTGGGACACGAGGGAAATAAATGCCATTATCCAACTTGAAGCAAATTATGAAGACTTTTTTTAGAATTCTGAAGTTCAGTAAACGTGTTTTAAAATTGATGTTGAAAAGGTCCAAATGTAAATTTTATGCAACCCCCTTATTTTTCCTTAACTAGATTACAGCGAGGCAAGAAACAACAGATTGAAAATGGTAGTGGAGCAGAAGACAATGGTGACAGTTCTCACTGTAGTAATGCATCCACACACAGTAATCAGGAAGCAGGACCTAGTAACAAACGGACCAAAACATCTGATGATTCCGGGCTTGAGCTTGATAATAACAATGCAACAGTGGCAATTGATCCAGTAATGGATGGTGCTAGTGAAATTGAATTAGTATTCAGGCCTCATCCTACACTAATGGAAAAAGATGATAGTGCACAGACAAGGTAAGTGTGTAGGTTAGCCTTAGATTATCTGAATTTATAATATTTAATTTGGAATTAAAAGGTAGTTTTACATAAGAAGTAAGGGCAGTATTTGTTATATCATTGATTGCCAGCGTTCACTTGGATATTCTGGCTGCGTAGATTGTTATTTACTTCCTTCCTCATGTGCTTCCCATCCACATTTGTGTATCTGAAAGGAATGACACTTCTAGGTAGAGGGAAGAAGAGTTATTTAAATGATACTAAGGTTACCAGTAGGCTCTAGAATTCATGCTGGCAAAGATGGCTGTTTTACCACTTATCTCCACACTGCTGTCATTGAGGTCAGATAAGTATCAAATACTTGTTCAATGAGTGATTGAATGGTATGCCATGCTTAAAAAAATTTTTTTTTCAAGGTTGGTGCTTCTAGGCTCTATCTTAAAAACCAGAAAATCCATCATTTCTTAGACAACAAGAAATTTGCTCATATTCTTACTATTCCTCTTGCTGCTGTAGATGACATAATTCTGCTCATTGGGGTTGAGGGTTATGTTCTTTTCTCCCTGCAGTTCTCCTTATATGTGTTTGTATTTGTCATTTATATCATTTTTGGATGATAAGGTAGGTAGAACTTTCATGTCCTTGTAGACAGATAGTAAGTTTGTACTTTCCGCTCTTCAGTACCTCTCAATAAAAAGGTTTAGGTAGTAGAGAAATAAATTTCTGATACTATTTCGTGAGTAATTGAGACACTTAACATTTTATTTAGCTTGTTAGAAATGTATTCTATAGTTTGAGTATGTTTTTATCATTAATGTAGAAATTAAATTTTTAATTTATTTTTCCAGATACATAAAGACTTCAGGTAATGCCACTGTTGATCACTTATCCAAGTATCTGGCTGTGAGGTTAGCTTTGGAAGAACTTCGAAGCAAAGGAGAATCAAACCAGATGAACCTTGATACAGCCAGTGAGAAGCAGTATACCATTTACATAGCAACAGCCAGTGGGCAGTTCACTGTGAGTATTTGAAAGAATAGCTATTAAAACTGGAAGCACATTCACCAGCTGAGACTGGCAGGTGGTTTGGTGGGGCCTAATCAAAATGGTTCAGGACCCTGAGACCCTGACAGGATGAGAAATTGCAATGGGGTAGTAGTTACCATTTTGATATCTTTTGGTTGTTCTTTTATGAATAGTATACGTGACAGGAAGTTTTATCCTAAGATTAAAAAAAAAAGGGCTTTTATGTTTGGTACATCTCACTACTGTGCTTTAAGCAGTTTCTAATTCTTTCTTTTTCTGTTTTAGGTATTAAATGGCTCTTTTTCTTTGGAATTGGTCAGTGAGAAATACTGGAAAGTGAACAAACCCATGGAACTTTATTACGCACCCACAAAGGAGCACAAATGAGCTTTTACTAAAACCAAGTCTGAGAATGAACTTTTTTTATAGCCTATTTCTTTAATATTAAAGATGTAACGTCTTTACTTTTATGGACAGAATCTTGGATATGTTGTTCAGTTTTCTTTCTGAGCCAGACTCGTTTACACTATTAGAATCTTTTCCCCTTAATTTAAGATTTCCTTTTTGGAAGGGACTGCAATTATTCAAGACTTCTTTCCTTTTAAAAATAATCTAAGTTGTATGTTTTCACTAAGTATGGTTCCATTTGGAGCACCCTTTTGACCCAGGAATTTTTCATAGTTCTGTATTCTTAAGATTCAGTTGGCTATTCTTTTCCCTCCCCTCCAAAGTTTTTTAGGCCTACAGAATGTTAAATAATACGTATTTTGACTTTTTTTCCTGGAGTCTTGTATATTTATAGTTTTCTATATAAGCTGTAGTATCTTCATGAAGACCAAGGCTCAAATTTACTGTGCTTAAAAGACAATTCTCATAGGATTATTATTTTCATGGTATTTTCTTCCATAAAATCTCATTTTTTAAAAAGGTTCTTTATGAACTTAGTGTCCATTGTCATGCAATGTTATTTTTTTCCATTTTTTCCCTCTAATTTTGGAATTTCTGATCCTGGGAAAGAGAAACAAAATGTCAAGTTCTGTGAGAACTTGGTTCATTTACAGATTTCACTGAAGAAAGAAAAATTGGTCTTATGTAGTCTTCAAGTGTATATTTAAAGAGGTCTTTTTTGTATTAGCTTTACTGTCACTTCAGTTTCTTTATTATGTGTGTTTGATGTTTTTTCCTATTAAAATATCAGAGATATGGAGATATTTTGCACTTTAGCCTTGATGAAAAGTACAAGATATGTTCAAACCTTCCCTAATTCTTATTGGTAGCCACGTAAGTTTCAAGAATAACATGGCGCATAGAACTAACAATTGAGGGGTGGGGGGAGTTTGCTTCTGTTTGAAAAGTGTGTTCAGCATTTTTGGTGGCCCTATCAGTTTATAAATTTGGTGCTCTGCTAATCACACTCTAGAGAAGCAAGTTAATGGAGCTTGAGCCCTGCCCTAGTGAAAGATTATTCTGTAGAAGAATGTCAGCAAGTAGGGTAAAGTCATTCTCTTCTTAGTTTTATATTGAGGGACAGTGTTGGGCTTTTGGAGCCAGAAGAAGGCTTTATGAAGACAGATCAGAAATATGATTGACCTTGTGTGTTACTTTCATCACTGTCCTGATTCCAGGTATGTTTCCAAGTTTATAATAATCACAGTATTTACAAATACTTTTGTTTGCATTGAGAAATTAACCCCAATGGGTTTTTTGTTTGTTTGTTTTTTGTTTTTGGACAGGGGTGAGTAGTCCTTCAGTACCATTGTAACTAAATAACCTGTCTAGTCATTGTATATATTTATCTGTCATTTTTGACAGATTGGGGCCAGCTTGATGTTTTGAATCTTTAGCCCAATATGAAACCTAAAGGCTCATTAAATTTTTACCATTTTAGTAGAAAATACAATCTGTTTTTTTACAGTTTATTGGTAATCATGAAGTACGAAGACCACCATAAATCAAGGGAAATTTTGTATTCAGTTCCTTTTCTGGTGTAACGTTAAAATTGTATAGATTATTATTAATGCATGTCCACTGAACATAACCCTGGTTTTGTGATATAACTGCTTACATTTTATTGGTGATATTAGATTAGTGGTTGCATTAAATAACTAAATTCCCATTGTGATTAATTGAAATTTTGTCTTGTTGCAGAAAATTATTTGTGAATATAAGCTTTGTGCTTAGAGAATGTTTGTGTTTTGTCAGTATGGGAGGATGTAAACTTTGCATCATTAGTGAATTTATTAGATTTGTAATGCTTTGCAAAATATAATAGGTATTTGATAGAGCATTGAGTGTAGTGTGTGTGTGTGTGTGTGTGTGTGTGTGTGTGTGTGTGTGTGTGTGTGTTGGTGGCTTAGGTACTGTTTTACCATCACTACCAATCAAGGTTTTGTAAAGTATTCTCTAAGCGCTTCTACTACCCACTCTTTCAGTTAGAGGGAACAGAAGGCTCACCAAATGTGGTAAGGGCCTTTGGATACATTCTCAATTTAAAATTTATTATGGCAAAATATGCATAATCAGATTTACAATTTAAACAATTTTGTGTTACAAATGCGATTGGCATTAATTTAAGTACATTGTGTTGTGTACATCATCACTGTCTAATTCTAGAGCTTTCTCAGTATCCCAAACAGAAACTCTGGACCCGTTAAACAATAACCTCCCTATTCTTTTCCCCATTATTTAACAAGCCCCTGGTAACCTTTATTCTTCTTTTCTTTTTTGAATTTGACTTATCCAAGGCACCTTTTATTCGTCATATAATATTTGTCCTTTGTGTCTTATTTTAGCATAATGTTTTCAAGGTTCATCCATGTTGTGTTGATGTATATTTTGTTTATCCATTTTTCTGTTGATGGACACTTAGGTTGATAGACACTTTTGCTATTGTGAATGTCTTTACTATCCATGTATTTTTATACGAGTATCTAAGTCCCTACTTTAAATACTTTTGAGTGTATATCTAGAAGCAAAGTTGCTGGGACATATATGGTAATTCTGATTTTTTTTGAGGAACTGATTTTCTGGAGCTGCACCATTTTATATTCCCACCAGCAGTGTACAAGGATTCCAGTTTCTCCACATTTTTACCAACACTTGTTATTTTTGTTTTGTTGTTTTTAATAGCTATCCCAATGAATAAAAAGTGTTAATTTCATTGTGGTTTTGATTTACATTTCCCTAATGGCTTGTGATACTAACTAAGCATCTTTTCATATGGTTATTGGCTGTTTGTATATCGTCTTTGGAAAAATATCTTTCCAAGTCTTGCTCATTCTTAATTGGGTTGTGTTTTCTTGTTGAATTGTAGGAGATATTAAAATCTGTTCTGGATATTAATCTATTATCAGATATACAATTTACAAATAATTCTATCCCATTCTGTGGGTTGCCTTTTTACTTTCTTCGTAGTGTCCTTTGCACAAAATTTTTCATTTTAATGAAGTTTAGTTTGCCTATGTTTGTTATCATTGCCTATGCTTTTGGTGTCCTATCCAAGAAAGAATTGCCAAGTCCAGTGTTATGAAGATCCTCCTGTATGTTTTGTTTCTCCTAAGAGTTTTAAAGTTTTAGCTCTTAAATTTATATCTTTGATCCATTTTGAGTTTTGTCCATGGATGCTATTTTGTTTTGTGTTTGGATAGCCACTTTTCCCAGCACCATTTGTTGAAAAGACTGCTCTTTGTCCATTGAATTGTCTTGGCAGTCTTAGTTGAAATTAATTGACCATATATATGAGGGTTTATTTCTGGGCTCTGTATTCCATAGGTCTATATGACTGTCCCTTTGCCAGTACCACACTGTTTTGATTATTGTAGTGTTATAAGTTTTTTTAATAAGTGTTATAATAATAATAAGTGTTATAATAAGTTTAAAATTATAATTTTAAATCCTTTGAACCTTGTGAAGAAGATGTTTCCCTTGTACATTTTAGGAAATTAAGGTTCAGGATTCTGATTTGGATAAATAAATATGGAATAATTGAAATGCAAGATGAGAAAAGGCATCTTTTTCAAATCCCCTCACATTTCTACTTGGAAATAGACTAAAACCTTGGTTTGAGAGCAAAATTTGTTCCGAAAACATGCTCTTAATCCTAAGCCACTCATATTATCAAAGCGAATTTCTAGAATCATTGGCTCAGTTGTGATCATGTGATGTTCAGTGTCACGTACTACTCATAGGGCAAGACATCTCTTCAAGTTAAAATTTATTAGAAATGTTTGCTTGTCTTGCGGAACACTAGCAGAACAAGTTACTCACAATTCAAGGTTTTACTATACTTTTCTAAATTTTAGAAACAGTTATAAGAAAGGAGTATTAGTGTGTAGTTGTTGTCACTGGAAAAATTACTTGAGAACTCTTCTCAATTCATGGAGTAAGGACTTCTGGAAATCTGCTTTCATAAAAGCAGTGAGAACATTGTAAACGTTGTCAAAATCAAGTTTTTTAGAATTCTAAAACTGAACCAAAGTCTGTCAGTAATCGAAAAAGCGTTTATTCAGTAAAAACTGTAACATAAATTTTGTAGCATTATAGATTGCCTTACCCTCCTTTCCCACGTTCCTGGGTTGCCTTGAAAAAGAATAGGCTTGCAACTATGGTAGCAGTGGAAACCAGCAGCCTTGTAGCCACTGGAAGGGGTTTACAGCTCCCTAAAAAGCCCACCCCCATAGAACTGTCATTATCTGACCTGTCTGGTTCTTCACTGAACAGCTCTAGTCCCAGAACTTGTCTTATATTTTGTGTGACTCTGCCTTACAGCCCTATCTACAACCTCTTGTTCAGAAACAGTTTCAGTTATTTAACATAGCAGCTTCTCTGAGGCATTGATACCAACTGGGACTAAAAATAAGCTGGCCAAAAAATAAAAGGAAAAGCTGAGGAATGACCTATCTCTGAAAAGCTTCAGCATATTTCTATGAATATAGAAGGCCATGTACATGTTCAAGGTTGTATGCATGCCCAAGGCGGGGAAAAAAAAGGAAGTCACTAATTGTACCTGTGGCATTACTTGAGGCTCTGCAAGCAGGAAGTGAAGGCGAAGGTAGGGTTGAAAAAACTGCATGTTGGGGTGTTGAAGGCATATCTCCACACATTTACAGAGCACTTCAGCAAGGCGAGGGGAGTTATGGGAGTTATTTCGAGTCATTTAAGGGAATTTCTGTTCAATCTTACCTCATCTGTCAGCTAATGAAGCAGGTATAATGGTCACATATAGGTAAGAATGCAGACTTCACAGAATTAGTCCAGGAAGGTCATTCAAGAAACCACAAACACAGTAGACCTTGAGGAAGTGAAAGGATTCTGTTCTCCAGAGTTGGCACATTATTTTTTTTTTTAAGTTTTAAATGTTTATTTTTGAGAGAGAGAGCGAACAGGGGTAGAGGGGGGCAGAGAGAGAGGGGGAGACCCAGAATCCAAAGCAAGGCTCCAGGCTCTGAGCTGTCAGCACAGAACCTGACA